ACTTACGTCGTTAAAGAATTTTTAAAGAATACTTTCTATATGCAGAAGTCTAACATCTCATAATAACTTATGGTTAGGAAAATTTTGTAATCACAAATATACGCACGTAATATTTTTTATTTATAGCTCTTTTTATTTAGTAATCATATTTTTACGATGTATACATACATTCCATATGCAATCTTAAGCGTTAATATCGCACGTAAGAGATTACAAGATAAAAATCGAAAAAATGCTTATCGATAAAAGAAAACAATTAATTTGAATTAACATTAATCGCCTTAAAAATCTTGATAATGTTGAGGTTGTGCGTATAAAGATGCCAGATCCAATTGTTTATTTCATTGCAAGGACAAATAGAAGTCGAGCATGTGCCCTCGGCAACACATGTTGCATACCGCGTAAAATTTTGTCCAAATAAATTTCTTTTTCGTGTTTTACATCTTTTTGATGCTAATTTTAATAAGTGCCCTGGTGGAAAAATGTTGCTGAAATTATTCCACGTTTTGGAACACTTTTTAACAAAATTTCAGCATTTCAAAAAAATTTCAGTTTAATTTCAGCGATTTTTAGCTGAAAAATTCATTTTTGACAAAATTTTCAGACAAATTTCAGTAAGAATTTTAGAGAAATTTCGGTTGGATTTCAGTAATTTTTCAGTATGTTAGCTGAAAAATTCACCTTTAGTGAAGTTTCAGCAAATTTTCAGCAATTTCGCTGAAATATTCCAAAACGTCGAATAATTTTAGCGAAACTTTTTCACCAGGATGTGTAAAAATTTTACTTTTAAAATAGATTTTTTTTAAATTTTATATTATTTCTTTTTTGATGTAATTGTGAAATCAACATTTGTGGAGATATATTAAACATATATAATTTATGAAGATATATCATACACAAAATTTACGAAATACTCAAAATTGAAGAAAAAACTCTTCCAGAAAGACTTGTTAAATTAGAAAAATGATGTTCATTTTGTTAATATTCAAATAATAAGAACATATATGTATTATATATTCAAATAATATAAACATATATGTACTATATATTGTACTATATGTAGACACTTTATTAGCCTTAGTTAGATACCTTATGTAGCAAATTGGTAATGAGGAGCATTATACAAATTTTTGTATAAGTTGTGTCATACAATATATTTATTTTTGAATCATACTCATTTTGGTCAAAATAGTTTGTCATAGGAGTTTAATAATTACTCCACTATAAAAGTGAATTTATTATTTTATTTCGCGAAAAAATTAGATTTTTTTAGTTATAAAAATCTTCATTTCTAGATGCTCTGTAAAAAAGTAATAATAATATAAAATCCGCCTTCTATTATGATAAACACTTGTTGTTAAAGGTTTCACAAGTACGCAAGATTTTTTTCAGATCTTTATATTATATATATATTTCGAAACAATAAAAAATTTAACAATGTAATCTCGCTAATACGGGCAAATGTGAAGCAAACAATAGAAAATTTGCTGTGGACCTCAGCAATGATCCAGTTTGCAGACTATAATCGCTAATGGAAAAACAACCGTTAAAATTTAAGAAATAACAAACAAAATGGAATAAAAGCAAATTTTGTCTATCTTGATTTTAGACAACTCAGACAACTTAGAATAAAACCTACCGTTTCTATTAGGACAATTATATTTTGTAACGTATTATATCATAAGAAGATCATGAAAATAGGGAGTGTTTCTATACATTTTATTCCAATCGTCACTTACTCGAACGCCGCATAAATGTAAATATGCTTTTTTATTCTCAAATTTTTACAAAATTACATTGAATACACATCTGATATTCTCATGGTCGCTAGATGCGAAATTACGCAAAATTATTCATTAAAAATGCTAATATTGCTTTTTATTGTCAATTATTGTCAATAATACCATTTCACACACTGCCATCCGGCTTACATTGACTTGCAGTTTTTTTATTTCGATTTAATATCGCTTTTTATTTTCAATAGTAAAATGCAAGTATCATGAAAAAATTTTGTGAACAAGACGTTAGATATACAAGGTATATTCTCGTAATCGTTTATATTTATTTGGCCTATTTTTTTACAACTGGTTTCTATGTTTATACAAAATAAATTATCTTCGTATTAGTCTATCAAAAGGAGCGTGGTCAGATCAATAAATAGAGTCCTGTATAAAAAATAAATGTATACATTTAATGATTTTTTGATAAATACCAAGATATAAAAAACATACAATAAAATAAAAATATACAATAAATTATAAAAATTAAGGATATATAAAAAAATTATTTATGGGAGGGGAAGTTATTATATAAGTTAAGAATTGACCTTTAGATTCAAAATGGGATCATCTCGTAAAATGAGGCCGGTTCCGTGAGCCCATATCAATTAATTTTATTGATAAAAAATATGCTAAATCAAGTAAATGCTAAGATTAAAGATATTTAAGACCGCAGATAAGATCGAAAAACAGTTTCAGATTTAGTAGCAGCTATTTAAAAAGTTATTAGCAATATTAAAAACGATATGTTAGAAAAAGTTTTTATGAGTTTTCGTAACAAAAATTGTGTTTTGTACAAATTCAGATGATGCGCACTCCGAAAAAATTACTCCTTGGGATTATGAGCATATTTTTCATCAATAAAATTAATTGATACACAAACATTTTGTTAAATTTTATTTATACTCATTAAAATTGCAGACTTTCCTCTTTTCAGCGCAATTTTTGTTTTTTCAATAACTGAATACCTTCGAAAATGACAGCTGATTAGTTTCAATATCTTCCCATGGGACCCTGTACCATAATGCGCGAAATAAAACACTAATACCATGGTATATTACTTGTCTATTATGAGACGTTTCATCGTAGAACAGTGTTTTGCTTAGCCTTGTTGTTCTTTCTTTGAAGGACAAGTTTATAGTTGATCAAAGTTATATCATATAATGGTCATAACGTCGGAATAGCTTTACATACGTGATTGAGAATCAGCAACGCTATGGAGATACAATGAGTGTTCACTGAGAGAAATAATTTTGTTATAACAACAAATCAAGGGGAAAGAAATGTGATATTTATTAAGAAAACGATCGATTAGTTACTATTGTGAATTAATTATTTTTCATTCGTCAGTGTAACAAATAATCAATAAGTATCGTTAGCAAATAAAAGGTTTATATATATAGAAGTAGTAGACGGTCATAGGGTTTACGATTTCTCAAATCGTAAGAAATTGATCAATTCTAATCAAGATTCTCCCTATATTTGACTGTGCTTGATCAATTTCCTACTTTCGACTTAAGATCCTACGATCATCTACGATTTCTATGTAAAACGAGCTTGAAGTCTATCTAAAAGATAGGTTAGATTCTATATATGTAGTTTGCTTCTATTACTAATAATTAGTTGGTATAACAGACTAGCAGCAATCGCAACAAACCAATTTGTTATCACATATTTACAGATCACTTGTTAAAGGTACTGACTTGTAAAATTAACAAAATCCTTTCTCTCAGTGTTCTCCAATAGTCAGGATTACTGATCGATCGAATTTCGAGTCAACAAACAAAGGGATTGACGGGAAGGAAGAGACGAGAAACTTGCGAAAAGAAAGGTACTTTCTCTTTTAAATGTTTGCAAAGTATAATTTCAGATCGCATTTACGTATCGATTGAAGAATAATTTTTAGGGTTTTTCACTGACTGTTATACAAAAATTATCTTTATTTTTGTTTAAAAAAATCATGAGAACATTATATAAGATTTTAATAAAATTTTTATATAATTAATACTTAAAATAAATTTTAATATATATTGTTTTTATTTAAATTATTTAGATTTTTAAATAATTGTGTATAGGGTACACAGCGGAATAAGTTAACAGAAATTTTGAAATTATAAAAGATTGAGGTCGCATAATGTATTCAATAAAACATACAAAACATACACTATTGCACCGTTAATGTAACAATTAAAAATATAGAGTCCAAACATCATGTTTATATGATAATAGTAGGTCTAGAAAGTAATTTGGATTTAAATTAAATTCATAACAAAATATTTGAAAAAAAATAAACTACAAAGACACTTCAGGAGTTCATTAAATCGGTGTGACAAACTAGAGTTAAAAATCTGTCTATTTAAGCTTTGCCATGTACTAAAGAAAGGTTAGATTAGGTTTTACTATAAAAATAGAAGGATAACTAAAAAATTTTAATAAAAATAATGCTACATAATTTCATAGA